GGGGGGGGGGGGGGGGAGCCATACATCTCATCTGACCTGTTATTTTCCCCAAGACAAATAAGTCTGAGGAAATTAGTTTGAAGCAAATGGCAGAACATTATGTGTGTGCCATGTGTGTGTGTGCGCGTATTATATATTAATCTAAATGCAGACACAAGGAATCCCACAGCATGATGAATATTTTTTGCATACTTACAACGCAGTGTAATGATTTATTTTAGGATGTACAGTTTTTGAGCCTTGTAAAAGTAATAGTTACATTAGACTTGGTCAAGTCATGGGAAAAATGTTGTGCTTATCGTTAATGTTAAGGTAAGACTAAACAGGGAGTTAAAGGAAATAAATATTTGGCTGAACCTAATTTTCTTACACAAACATTCATCCATAACTAATTTGTATTGGCTTTTTCATTTTGATATCACTCAAACTGCTTAGAGTACTGCTTATTTTGTAATACAAATAATGTAATATGTAACATAGCGCACTGAGTGTATCTGCAAAACATTCTTTGTCACAGAAATGTCGACACCTGCGAAAAAGCTCATCAGCATATCTTCCCACATGAACTTAAAAAGCACATTTGTATTATATTATATACCAGGTGCCTGATCGGTATTGCACATCTAACATTCAAAACAGATATGAGAAGGAGATTGCTGACTTCTCAGCTACTTCCATTATCAGCTCTGGAAATAACAACATTTTTAATTCTTATCTATCACTTGCCAGATTGGGCTAGTGAGTTGTTAGATTTAGTAGCTTAACTTTGCCCCAGGCAATGCTTTTTGCGAAGCCCTTACATAGTGGGAACACATTGTGGATATGTGTAGACGACCACCCTCTGGACACAAAGGTTTGGTCAAAACAACATGCATAGATAGTTACAAATTGGCTAGATCATGACTGAGACACATTTTGGGTAAGGGTGTTGGGAAGTGTGTAGATTTTATGTTAAAATAACATCAACATTACAGTAAGACTAAGCTAAGTCAGTCAAATGTCCTCACAAGTATAGTACACATCTCTGAGTGTATGCTGCTAAGAGGAAGGAGCAAACTGAAGGCAGAACCAGAGATAGAGGTTTGGGGGAACAAAACAAAGTGTAAAGCACAATGGGGAGAAAGGGGGTCAGGCTATAAAAAAAGAATCTGGAGGATGGATGGAGGGAGAATAAATGAGAGATGAAGTGTGGAAAATAGGGAAAGGCTGCTGATGTGCTTCTTAAGCAGGTCATTGGACGCGGTGTGCCGTGGGAGGGCTTGTTCAAGCATGGCTAACAGATTTCCTCAGTCCCTGCGGGAGCTTTTCCTTAAAGCTCCGGTCCAGAGAGGCACTGTCACATCAGGACGCATGATAGGGAAATGGAGCACATGGCCATTAAACAACTTCTAAAATGTCGTCCATCACAGGAGGCGAGGAAAACTTCATTACCCATGGGTGCCATTTAGCTATTCAAATGGGGCAGAGCTTGATACAACTGTATTTCATTAAATCAAAATAAACCTGTACTTTTCCTCAATTGCTATATTTCCTGACATAATAGCTGTTGCAACAGTTAATAGCAGCACAAGTGAATGTTGTTATAAAGGCTCAGTCCTTCAATTTGAAAGCTGCGGTCTGTAACGACAAACATATCATCATCATCATCGCCCTCTGCTGCAGCTAAATGAGGTGTTGCATCAGCGTTGAGTCTCAGCAGTGATCAAGGTGCCCCGCTGAAGCTGCAGAATCAATACTCGTGTCCATCATGTCTGCCTGGGGCTCCTGAGCCTCCTGCCTGTCTCTGATGTGGGCTGTGAAGCCTAGTTTACAGCATACTGGTGAATACTGACTCTTGATCCTGTTCATCCGCTTATTCAGCACTGAAGGGCACACAGCTCTGTCATCCACCGCCACCAGTTCTTGGCAGAGTTCATGGTCGACACCAAAGCCCTGTTATTCACACAAACCAGCACCGCCTCCAACTTCACTGACAGGCCTACAGGCTACTTCACACTCTCACACACAAACACAAGCTCTGTAGTTTGTCAAATTCTCCCTCTCACTCTCAAAAGATGCACAGGCCCATGGGTGCTAACGGCTTCAGGGCATCATATTTCCCAATTTAAGAGAAGTTGCGTTGATAGTGCCATGTGTCTCATGCTGACTTCAATCCGCTCTCCGCGCAAGATCGCTTCCCTAATGACAGTAATTGCATTGAGGAAGCCCCCGGTCGTGTTCAATTACCCATTCCCATCCAAGCACACGGGTCTAATCTCACAGTGTAATGTACGATACAGATGGCTCTAGAAGGCAGACATATCCATCATCGCCTCATCTTTGCTGCAACGTGGGAAATCCAGCAGGAGAACCATGTAAGATTGAAATGGGCTGAGATGTGCCACTGAGATTTCATTATATTGTAATATCTGAAAACTGGTGTTTTCTAAAGTAGAATTGTGTCTCCTTGAGAAATAAAGGAAAATCCTCTTCATGGCTCTTTCCAAATGATTAAACACAGTAAAAAGTAGACTCACCCGAGAGGCTTCTCCAGGCGGCTGGCTGGTGAGCCCACGATCTCTCCCAATGTACAGTGGACCTGTCCCAGAAAGTCCTGCCATGGGGGGAACACACAGTGGGATAGAGAGAGACGGAGGATGGGGGCGTTCAGGTGGTTAGGGGGTAACAAGGACAGTCGGTGAGTCGGTGAGGAGTAAAGCATCGTCATAAGCATTTTACGGTTATAATTAAGGACATCTGAGGCAGACACGTACGTTAAAGTCGGTGGGCTTCCAGGGTGAAGAAGAAGAAGGAGGAGGAAGAGAAAGAGACCAGGCAGCAGCAGTGACACAACAGAGCATATCATGGAACAGAAGACACACCACTCAAATACCAGACAGTCATCAACCAAGTGCAAGAAAGAAGGGCAAAAGTGGATATGTGAAAGAGCAGATATGCAGCACAGAAGAGTAGACGATGAAGAGTCAGAAAGTCTCAGAGGAAGCAGGAAAGAGCATGTGAAACAGCACAATAGATGGAAAGCAACAAAGGGTTTCATTCAAAGAACAGTGTGTTTCCAAGCCATGCAGCACAAAATAACAACAAGTGACATTTGGTGGTATGCAAACCAAGTGCTGCAAATATATTGTTTATGTATAAAATGAGACAGAGTTTATTAATCAAAGCTTTCAACGTTAATGATGGCACTAACATACTGTACATGTATCACTATGATAGCTGGGTATTGTTCTTTAATGTGGCTGTCTTCTAATATGAAAATCTAAATTGCAAAGTACACTACAGAGCGCACAGGGAAATGTGTTTTGAAAGGCTTTGATAATGATGTGCAATGCTTCATTTGAGGCTATGCCAGATGCAAATAAAGCTCCAATTATAATAGCTCTGGAGAAATAAAACATGTTCTCAAACTAAGGCAGGTGGAGAGTGTAAAATAAACAATATTTTGGCAGATGAAGCATAATCCTCTCATTATTCCCAAATATATTTGAGCATTTTAGATGCCATAAACTGGTTTGCATAAAACCTTAATATTAAAGACGTGCACTAAAAACAGCTCAAACTAGTTTCAGGATGAAATATAAACTAGTTCTGAAGAAGAAATCAAGTGTTTTCACTTACATGCTTTGCCAGATCTGGACTTTTAGAATCAATATCATACCTGAAATCACAAAGTCACCACAAATCACAAGGGCACAGATGGGCGAAACATCATGAGACCTCAAATTTTACTAGCAAGTATAATAATAAAAAAACACTGGCTGCAGCGTGGACATTTTCCTCCTGTCGATCACACACCTGGGTCATTAAGGGAGCAAAAGAGGCCGACTGATGAAAAAAAAGCATAAGCAATAATATGACAGCTAATTAAGTTATTCTATAGTTTATTCATGTATTTTCTGTACTATGCCTGGGAGACCATACTTAAACTATCTACAGATGCACAGAAAGTTTCCAGCATTTGCCAGACTTAATGTAAAAGTAATTAAGCCTCATTCAGCCCAGACTCCCACCTCTGTGATCAAAAGAAAGATGTAAATGAGCAACACTAATTGTGAGGGGGTTCCAGAGTTTAATCATGATAGCATGCCAAATTCATTCATTAAGTGTCTAAAATCCTTTGAGACCTGCAGCCCGGCCCTGGATACGTCGCTGAAGTCCACTGGGGGGACTTCATGCTTGAAGGATGGAAGAAAAAAAAGATATTTTTTTGGAAGCACATCTGTTCTCCTTGAGTAGGGAGGAGAAAAGACAAAATGATCCTGACTCTG